TGAAAGTGTCTGACCAACCAACCACACGCTGTCTCAGCATGTCACAGGTGGCCATCTTTAATCTGATTGTGATTAAAGGTCAGTGTTGAAAAGCTAATATATTAGCCTATGAAACGAATGCGCGTGTGTTCATGCGTGAATGGAGACACACAGACAGATAGCAGAAGAGGGAGAAGCCGGGCTAATATATTTCGTTTATTTGTCCATTCTGGAGGCTTATCGTATTGCGTTCACTCTGTGTTTACTCCAGAGTTCAAACAGAGCTGGAATCGAGTCTGGCATTCCTTCTGCTCAATCTGTTTGACAGCTGTGTGTTTGTGTGTGTTTGCATTTCCCTTTGTGTGAGAGAGCGAAAAAAAATATGGGTGAAAAGAGAGGGAAAGATCTGGTGTTTTACTTGATGGCCTCACACATATCCAGGCCCATCTTCACGCAGTTCCTGGCGTGGTCAGGCAGCGATTCGGGCAGGCCAGACACACAGTAGTAACAGTCTCCCAGGATCTTGATTCGCATGCACTCATTTTCCTTTAAAAAGCAGAAAGGGAGAAGGAAGCGAATTGCAGCCATTATCAAACTCTTTCATATCCAAATCTGTCCAAAATTATTATCATCTTTATTAATCCTCAGCTATTTTATTCCTTCCTTACCTCCATCTAACCCTCATGCACAGAGTCACATCCATCAAGCCCAAAATCATACACCCACACGTAAAGCGTATTCGCTCTTATTCCACATGTGGGAAGTGTAACAGCTCATCGTTGGACTGGGTTTATGTAACAGCAGCTTTGTCAGACGGGAGGACAGAGCTGCTGGACACAAAGCAAAGAGAGCCTGACTAAACTGTTGAGACCCACGTAGCTGCGAACCCCGGAGACAGCGAGATACACTCTGACCAGCCCACGCACGAAGGCAGGGCGCTCCGGGAAAGCGCGGCAGGAAGGCTGACAGAGGCCGCAGGACCGAGAAAAAATGTATTTCGAGGCCACGTTTCATCTGGTAGACAACACCAGACAGACCTCGTTCTCTCATCTTGGTTACTTTCTAATTAAGCCGTTCTAATTTAGTGCATTAATTCAAGCTTCAGATGACATTACCCTGAAAGCACTACATGTGAACCAAGACCAACTGTTTCATGTCTTCCATTATTTCCTCATTACAGTCAAATGAATTTCTGATTAAAATGCCATTTGCTGCTTTGATTTATGGAGGCTCTTACTGCATGATGCATATGACTGTGTGTATTTCAATCATACAGAGTGGGTAAAGTACAGTAAATTCAGTTGAGAGTGTCTTTTCGGTTTACCTTCGCGATCTGGTCAAACTTGCCGAAGAGTTCGTTCAGCATGTGCACGAGCTCGCCTGGGGAGCAGTCACTGGCCAGCCTGGTGAAGCCCACAATGTCTGCGTAGAGGATGCTGTAAAAACAAAGATAAAGAACACTGTTAAAAGGAAAACCGTTGTGTAATGTAGTACAGTGCAAACGTCCTTCTTTATATTTTGCTTCCATGTACTTTTAAAGTGGTCTCGAGCAGCAGTTTTCCAGACTTTTTGAAGCAATTTCAAAGTTTTTCTTCAGTCATTTGTTGCTCTTTCACTCATTTTCAGTCCAGTCCTTGTACCTGACTAAGGATCAATTTTAAATGATATCTTTAAGTACTTTGTTATCAGCAGCAAGATGCAAAAATGCCGACACCAAACTTTTTGTCAGGACCTGGGTCTGTGGGACCCCAAGGTTCATGAGCCGTCAGTGGACTTGATTACTTGTTGTTGATGTGTGTGTATATTATGCTGCTGTCCCTGTTTCCCTGCTCGCGGGCGTGTG